GGATCGTGTGCATTTTTAAGCAAATAAACACATGTAAATTTATCGTGCAAATGTTTTTATACTGTTTGCAATTTACTAATTACTTTTCCCAAGGCTTCAAAGATGTATATGCTTTATTAACAGCATTTTCTGGTTGGGAAAAATCATTGCATACCTTTTATTACAAGATCATTAATAAGTTTATAAATTCTATAATTTTTCATGTTAAAAAAAGTTTTGGTGCCATTTCTTCCTAGGAAATTTGAGTTTCTCTGATGATTCAAAAATAAATGAAAATTCACCACAAACTTTCCAATAAAGTAAATCGCTTGAACCCGCGAGTACCGTCAATAACAAAAATAAAACAAGGAAAAAACGAGTTAAAAATTGGCAATCTCAAAATTCATTAGTCCTTTTTTGAGATTTATACAATTGAACATGACCTAATTTTTTAGCACTTGAAAATTTGGTGCTCTTAAAATTACTATTTGTTACACACCATGCCTATTTTATAATAAGTCAGGTATTCCTTTGAATAATAATTATCAATCAACGGGGCATGTTTTATGTTTGTAAAAATTTGCATTGGTAATAACATGAAAAAAAAGTCTACTAGATTGATTTATGTGAAATTAATGTAAATGCCGTGACAATACCAAGAAAAAATATACCTTCAGATTCTCCATTCGCTTTTACTTTACCTATGGAAACTGCAATGCAAAAAATATCAATCAGGCAGAAACATATCAAGTGCAAAACAAGAACGTTAAGGGTGGGGAGGGTAGTAAATACTCATATATTCCAGTATAAAATTTCACATTTAATTTCATATATGAAACAGGAATTTCAATATGAAATAGACAGGGGTTATTCCAAGTGGGCATATCAACTTTCTAATGTAAGCCGTCGTCTATAGTTTGTCAGTGCTGTAGGTAATGCATTTTGCCGAGTCCCAGTTAATGTTGTGTGTTGTCAGTTGGTGATGTTCGGCAATGTGATTAGTTTTGTCTTGTTTCGTTGTTGCTCGTTTGTGTTCAGTAAGTCGTATGTTTAAGTTCCTGCCAGTTTCCCCGATATAGGAGGCATGACAGTCGGAACAGTTTATTTTGTAAACTGCACCTTGTCGTTCGTTAAGTTGTTCTCGTCCTTGATGTTCGTAAGTACTTGTCGTAGCGTTGTGATTAGTTTATGTGGGACACGTATGTTGTATGGTCGTAAGTTACGCGAGATAGTCTCAGACGTACCTCTGATATAAGATACCGTTGCTGGTGTTTTTGAGTTGTTTGTTTCGTTCGTTTTATTGTGCTTGTAAATGTTGCGTTTGATAAAGTCAGAGTTATAGTTGTTTTATATTTGGCATATACATTATCAGAAAGCACGCATGCTGTTTTCAAATTTGATAAAATTAACCAATGGTGGTTGTCAGAGCTCCAGCCTCGCATTCAACATTTTAGTCTTATTTAGCCATCTTTTTAACATTCGTGAATGAAAGTCAAGCGGGGCACTTTTCACTCATAATTTCTTTGAAGGAGAATAAAGTTTAGAACTATTGAAGTGCAAGAATAACGATTCACTCAGTAAGTTCAAGAGGAAGTTCAGTGGTTTGTTAAAAATATTAAGACAAAACGACTACTTAGTAAGTTTTCGTCAAGATTTTAAAAGAAACAAACTGCTAGCGGTAGAAACTACCAGGAGGGCAGTTATTCAATACACGAATGTCCTCTACCTGATAACCAAAATACCTTTTTCGGGAGGGGGATAACGGATTTGATAAAATAATGATAAAAATATTTTCATACCATTCTTTTCCACAGATAAACTAAGGCAACTTCCTCCTTCATTACTGTTGTAGGACCACAATCGGTGTTTACCTTGTCCAAAAATACAAACTATGGAATCACCCATAGCTGAAAAACTGGAAATTTGTGTAAACTGTGCATTAGGTTCTTCCATAAATTATATTTTTCGTTTTATACATTTGTCAATACCATTCGAACCATACATTTAAATATTTTGTTATTGACGCCTTAAATCCACACCAATATCATATTTTCGTCACACGAGCACTGTCACAATAGCGGATATACGGCTTAACTGCTTAAATATTGTGTAATATTGTAGCCAGTAAGGAATGTTGTTGACAGTAAGGAAAGGTAAAGGTAAGGTTAGATTCCTTATTTTTTTTAAACAACCAAATTCCAACCTCATGGAAATCATTCAATGAATCAATTTTGATGAACTTCAACTGATGATGTAAAACATTCGTACATAAAATGGAGGAAAGATTCAATCGCAGCGAAATTTTGTATCTTTTCATGGATACAAAGACGAGCCAAGATTATAATGACAGACTCTTTTAATATTCTACGACTGTTTGCATGTTTGCTTCATTGTTACACTTTTTTTTCATTGCTTTGCTATTACAAATATCATTTTATATGAATTATATTTAGAAAGACAATGATCCCAGGGAAACGAAAAACTTAAAGACAACAACAGCAATACCTTATATCAAAGGTACGTCTGAGACTATCTCGCGTATCTTACGTCCATACAACACACGTGTCTCTCTTAAACCAATTACAACGTTACGACAAGCACTAACAAAATTCAAGGACAAAGAACAACCAAACGAACGATAATAAACTTTCGGCAATGTGCAGTTTAACTCCGACTGCCATACCTCCTATATCGGGGAGACAGACAGGAACTTCGTCAAAGACTTCCTGAACACAAACGACTAACAAAGAAACAAGATAAAATAATAACATTGCCGAACATCACCGAATGACAAAACACAACATTGACAGTGACTCGGCAAAATGCATTACTACACCACTGACTACAGACAACGGCTTACATTCGAAAGGTGGATCACAACAATTAACGACTTATTCCCAATCTCAAAAAAAGGAACTATTCGCATTTGGACTATAGCTAATCACAATAACAATACGCAATTGACACCCACACACTCACTCATTTCCTACACATACAATACGATGAAGTATAAACCAGACCAAAAATACGGCAAACCAGACTCTGAAATTGACCACTTCTGAGGGCTAAGGTTGTCAAAACACCAACAGTCCTTCTCAGGACTCTACTAACCAGGGCCATCTACATCTACGCACTTAAAATTTTAGATAGCAATAACTCATGATTAATCGAATATGACTTTTTTCAAACGACATTCGTATTTTTGTGGATATTGGTTGATAACATTTGAAAGAGGACTAAAGTTATCAAAACTTCAGTTTTTCTCATTCCTGATTTTCCCATCCCTGCATTCCATTTGCCCATTCCTTTTTTACAGATAGCCGAAAGAATTTTTGTTAATTTTGATGCTCAGTTGAGCATCGAAACTTTGCATATCACCACCTCAAAGAGCCGTTTTGACTTCACATGCAAACACTTTATACTTGCCGAATGTCATCACAATATTTTCAGCATGTCTTCAAAATGCAACAGTAATTATACTATAATAACAAAAGCATGTACATGTTGAATGTACAAATAACTTGGATAAAACAATGATCATTGTTAGATGCTCGTACATGTAGATCATTCACGTTAATAAAATATTGAAAGATGGTTAATTGCTGTGAGGGCTGTCTGACGCGGCAGAGGTCTCGTTCTGAAGATGAGACGGATTTCGTCAATTGACGGCTAACCCTTTCTTTTGTCGCTAAGTTTTGTGTTCAAATTCAAAGAATGTACACAATACTTGTCATTATTTCGATTGACCAAAGTTTGTTAATAAATTATTTGGAAATTTCGTAAAACACCCTTCGTAAAATAACCTCTTATTGTCGATTTCAGTTAACTTTTCAAATGGCGGATGCCAAGTTACTTTCTAATGTTGCCAACTACATTTTCAATTATGGAATATTCGATATGAACTTGTCAACTTGAGTTGACAAGTTGTGTACTTGAGTACTGAAGTTGTGAACTTGAGTACTGAAATTGTGTTCTTGAGTACTGAAGTTGTGAACTAAAGTTGCGAAGTACAGGAAAACACGAAAGGTCTTTGTACCCTGTAGACATTTGGCAATGAATCCGTTCAGTAAGCAAGGAAAAGCTTTACCAATAGAAGTAAGAAATGAAATACTTGAAAGGTGGTTAAATAACGAGCGTTTGAGAAACATTTCGAAACAACTATACCTACCGTATAAGACTATATCAAATATAATAGATCTATGGGTAGACACTGGTTCTATTGCACCTCGCCAGAGCGAACGTGATGTTCGAACCGCGCGTACAGATGACGTTATTGCATACACTGAATAAAAATTAATAAACCATCTATTTAGGCAACACCTAGAAAATAACAAAGTTTGCCTTCCAGCAAACATACGTAGAAGGTCATCCATTAGTAGAATTTTGAAAATGATCTTGGTTACTCTTACAAGATAATAAGTCAAATTCCTCGAGAGACCGAACGGCCGGACGTTATGAAGAAGTTAGAAGCTTACGTAGCAAATATTTCATTGATTGATTGCAACCGTATGCATTTGTTTGATGAGTCGCCGGTAGTTGCTACGAGTGGCAACAGACGTCGAGGGCACAGTATGCAGGGTACTCCTGCATTTAAAATACAACGATACTCTTCTAGTGCCACATTTACTGTAAATTTATTACATAATGTAAACGGCGTATCGCATTATAACACTCTTAGAGGGCCGTCAAACGGATTAGAATTGCTAAAGCTTTTCCTTGCTTACTGAACGGATTCATTGCCAAATGTTTAAAGGGTACAAAGACCTTTCGCGTTTGATAGTACTTCGCAACTTTAGTTCACAACGTCAGTACTCAAGTACACAGCTTGTCAACTCAAGTTACTTAGAAAGTAACTTGGCAACCGCCATTTGAAAAGTTAACTGAAATCGACAATAATCAGTTAGGTAGACAGCCAGCAAATTTCATAGAATCGCTGTGTAAAATCTTTGAGGTCATTTTGCGCAAATTATTTACTACCTAGTTCAAGCAAAAATTGGACAATTCAAATCACGCTTACGTACCTCTAAAAACAAAACGTACCAAAAAGTTCCGTGTTACAATCAGTGATTCCACTGGAAATCGTACTTGCCAGTCTAGCTTACGAATTACAAATAATCACCTAACATACATTCATGTCATTAAAACACAAATCTTTACATTCAACTTCCGTAAGATGACAGGACATCGATGAAAGACAATGTGTCTTTATATTGAGGCTTGGTAGAGGCGTCAAAAAGTCTGTATTATCACTTTTATCGGACGCCGACAAAGATATTTCGTATTGTTTGTTTTATAGTATTATACAACAAAAATCTCGTCAGTTTATGGAACGTATATTTATATGACTAAAGACTTTTATCAAATAACAAAATTTTGCCGACATGCTTTTATTGCATTATAACAAATAATAAACATCATACAACTGGGTAATTTCAAATAACCAAATTTCTCGACGTGATTTCTTATTTGATAATTTCAAATAACCAACATAACTTTTACACACGTTGTAAGCCAAGTTACGTCACAACTGTATGAGCACCGCTGCCCCTAAATAGTTGCATGACATTCCAAATAACTTGATAAAACATTGATTATCGAACAATTTCAACGTGAAATATAAACTACAACTGATCAAAATTTCATTTGACAATACTTAAAAGAATACAAAATGTAAACAAAGTTTTCTGCTTCATATTATAGATATATTTTCTATGATATTTTATATCATGACAGCGATAATCTTTTTACAAGCTAACAGATGCACATATAAGTAGAGCGTACTCTAAATCCGTAAGAGTTGTAAGGTAAGATTAGATTCCTTATGTTTTTTTTTAAAAAAAACCAAATTGCAATCTTATGGTAATCATTCTATGAATGAGTTTTGATGAACTTAAACTGATCATGTGAAACATTCGTCCATAAAATTGAGAAAAGATTCAATCGCAGCGAAATTTTGTATTGTTTCATGGAAACAAGGCAGAGCCAAGATTATAATGACAGACTCTTATTCTACGACTGTTTGCACTTTTGTTTTATTGTTACTTATTTTTTTTATTGCTTTGCTACTACAAATATCATTTTATATGAATTATATTTAGAAAGACAATGATCCCAGAAACGAACAACTCAAAGACAACAACAGCAATAACTTATATCAAAGGTACGTCTGAGACTATCTCGCGTATCTTACGTCCATACACACACGTGTCTCTCTTAAACCAATTACAACGTTACGACAAGCACTAACAAACGTCAAGGACAAAGAACAACCAAACGAACGATAATAAACTTCTGGCAAGGTGCAGTTTAGCTCCGACTGCCACACCTCCTATATTGGGGAGACAGACAGGAATTTGATCACAAGACTTCCTGAACACAAACGACTAACAAAGAAACAAGATAAAAATAATAACATTGCCGAACATCACCGAATGACAAAACACAACATTGACCACTGTCAACGCATTACTACACCACTGACTACAGACAACGACTTACGCTCAAAAGATGGATCACAACAATTACCAGCACCTTACAAACGACTTCTTCCCAATCTCAAAAAAATGGGAACTATTCGCATTTAGACTAAAGCTGACCACAATGACAATACGCAATTGACAACCACACACCCACTAATTTCCTGTACATACAATACGATAAAGTATGAACCAGACAAAAATACGGCAAACCAGACGTTTACTCCTCACTTGACTCTGAAAATGACCACTGCTCAGGGCTAAGAATTACAATACACCAACAGACCTTATCAGGACTCTACTAACCGATGTCATTTACATGTACGCACTTGAAATATTACATAGCAATAACACATGATCAATCGATTATGACTTTTTTCAAATGACATTCGTACTTTTGTGGATATTGGTTGATAACATTTGAAACAGGACTAAAGTTATCAAAATTAACAAACCTGAGTGTCTTTCCGGTTTTACAAATTTCAGTTTTTCTCATTCCTGATTTTCCCATCTCTGCATTCCATTTCCCCATTCCCCATTCCTTTTTTACAGAAAGCCGAAAGAGTTTTTGTTAATTTTGATGCTCTGCTGGGCATCGATACTTTGCAAATCACCACCTCAAAAGGCCGTTTGACGTCACATGCAAACACTTTATACTTGCCGAATGTCGTCACAATATTTTCAGCATGTCCTCAAAATGCAACATTAATTATACTTTTATAACAAAAGCATGTAGATGTTGAATGTACAATTAACTTGGATAAAACAATGATCATTGTTAGATGCTCGTACATGTAGATCATCCACGTTAATAAAATATTGAGAAAGACGGTTAATTGGTGTGTGGGCTGCCTGACGCAGCAGAGGTCTCGTTTTAAAGATCAGTGGCGTAGCTAGCGGTCCCGCTACTCCCGCCCGGCGGGAGTAGAAATTTCCCAAAAAATAATAAATATTCTATTTGGACATAAGATATACATTATTTCACGAACAATTTCTAATATTATGTTTTATTCGTTCATATTTACGCTTTTATTAGGTGGTTCGTAATCGTAATACAGCAAAATCTCAACATTTGTTATGTAACCTAGCAACCGCCTTTTCTCGCACATTGCATACTCGCGCGATTCTCCACGTATTCAGCCCATCTTCAGAGGGCGGAACATACAATATAATTCTATATAAGAAGTTTTGAATTCTGGTTGGCTAAGGGACTTGACGCATGCTCAAATCTGCTGTTTTTATAGTCGAACTCCCGCTATTTTAAATTGGCGGAGGTTGTAATTATTCGACCTTTTAATACGAGTACAGCGATTAGTGATTATCAAATTATGTGTCATTGTCGGTATTAATTTTCCATTGTTTTTACTCTCAAATTGCTATTTTGTATTTGTGTATGACACAATGGCTTCAAGTGCGACTGCGATTTGCTCAACTGATGTTGATTTAGTAATTAGCTTATTAGCTAAACCGTTCTCTGCTCGATCGTCTGTCGAACAGAATGTTATCGTTCATGAACGGCCTACTCCTGATTTAACTATCCAAAATAAGGGAAGAGCATTTCAGAGAGATTGGTATGAGGCGAAGGACTGGCTGTGTGGCAGTACAACCTTGCAGAAAGTGTTTTGTTGGCCATGTCTAATGTTTTCCCCAAAAGCATCGCCATCGTGGACTAAGAATGGCTACAACGATATGCGGAGTATTATGTCTGATGCTAAGAAGCATGAAAAATCTAAATCGCATTTGACTGCATTTAAGACATGGAAAACGTATGGAGCTAGTGAACGAATTGATTGTCTTATGTCCCTCGCTAGAAGAAATGAGATTCAGCGTCACAATGAGGAGGTAAGACAAAATCGAGAAATTTTAAAAACTGTTACTGAGGCCGTGCTGTATTTGTCAAAGCAAGAGTTGCCATTTAGAGGTCACAATGAGTCCGAAGGTAGCTTGAAGAAAGGTAATTATAGAGAGTTGCTCGAATGTTTTGCTAAGTTTGATTCTGTATTTGAGCGTCGACTGCACAGTAGACTAGCAGAATCTGATATAGTTGGTGACAGAAGATTTACTGGAGTCTCCCCAGAAATTCAAAATGGTCTTATCAGCTGTCTTGATTCAATTATTGAAGATGAAATCAGAAAGGAAATAAATGATTGCAAATTTATGAGTATTCAGGTTGATGAAGCATCTGATGTCTCCACCAAAGAGCAGCTAAGTGTTATTGCTCGGTTTGACAAAGCAAGTGAAATTATGGAGAGGCAATTAGGATTTGTGGATGTAAGTATGAACAGAAATGCCACAGCAATATCACAAGTTGTCAAAGATAAACTTGGTGAGTATTCTAATATAAAAGAAAAACTGGTTTTCAACAAGAGCATCCTTTTGCTCATTTTGTTCATTGTGCAGCTCATAGATTGAACCTGGTCCTATGCCAGTCAGCCTCATCAATTTCTCCTGTTAAAATCTTTTTTTATTAATATAGCTACATTCAGCACATTTACAAGCAATGCCCCAAAAAGAAAAGCTTTTCTCACATCTAACAACCTTGAGTTTCTTGCCCCTGGTGAAACAAGATGGTATTATCGCTCTAGATTAATCAATGTATTGCACAAAAACTATGAAAAACTTTTAGATATTTTTGAGGGGGTACTTGAACAACCAGCTGGGTGGGATGATGAGTCATTAAGTAAAATAAGTGGCTTACTGCATTATCTTGATAGCTTTCTCTTTTGTTTTCTAGTGTGTGTTTTTTACAGGATTTTAGAACAGTCCACAATTTTGTATTGCATTCTTTAAAATAGGGAAACCCATTTTAACTATGGCATAAGCAAGATTGACAATTTCAAGCAGTTTATTGTGTCACTTCGCACAGATCAAGCTTTCACCGAGTTGTACCAAACTGCACTAGAAAACGTAGGCCCACCAGCAACCAGAGCAGATAGTAGATACAATTACAAACAGCTTTATTTTGAGATTATTGATTCCATTAAAGGCATGTTAAGTGAACGATTCCAAGATATTAATCAGTTCAAGTTTTTAGACCTTGTAAATCCTAAACTATTTACTACATGGAAGGGCATAGTTCCACAGGAGAAGATCAATCTTCTCAAAGATAAGTATAGTCGTCTTTTTGACATCCAAACTTTGGAGAGTCAACTTTCCTTCATTTACAACGACAAGGACTTTCACAAAGAGTGCAGTAATGAGGTTCTTAAATACATCTTAAAATTTAATCTCCAGTCGAGTTTAGGTCAAGTGGTAAATTTGTTAAAATTGAATGGTGTGTTGGCAGTGGCAAGTGCTTCAGTAGAGAGGTCGTTTTCTTGCTTAAAAGGGTAAAAGCTATTTAAGAAATAGAATGGGTCAAGGTCGGCTTAGCTCTTTGTGTAGAATATCTATTCACAAAGATATCATTGAAAAGAAAGAGGAATCAGGGTGTTGCATAACGAGGTGGTTGAAAATTTGTAGAAAACCCAGGAGGCTGGCCTTTCTTTATAAATGATGAGTATAGTATGTGTTTTGATATTTGTTCGTATAATACATGGTACTTCATTGAGAAAATTAAGCATAACTTTAAAGAATAAAGCCATCCCTGTCTACTTGCCCCAATCTAAATAAGTTTAAACTAACAAGTAGAATGCTAAGAAAAATCTCTCTCTATGCACTTTAGAAGTGTCGTATACTATATTATTTTTTGTGCTAATACAAATTTCTTCTGTTTATGCAGGGGCAGTGATGAGTAAATTATGTTTTAGGAGGCAATTGTCTCCTGCGTAACGTTTCTCTGAGCCACCTTTAGTACCTTTTTAACTAGTTGCAGTTTCAACGATTGCCACATTAAGAATGCAGCTAACAAAAATGGGTTTTTATAAATTATTGTACAACAAATAATTCGCCCTCGAAATCGCAGGAAATGCTGTTTCCAAGGCTCTGGATTTCAAAATTTTACGGGGGAGCATGCCCCCCTACCCCCCTAGTGGGGTCGCGCCTCCGGCTCGAGATGGATTGGTGGGAGTGACTATTTTTCCTAGCTACGCCACTGTTAAAGATAAGACGGTTCTCGACAATTGACGGCTGACCCTTTCTCTTGTCGATAAGTATTGGGCTCAAATTCAAAGCATGTTCACAATACTTGTCATTATTTCGATTGACCAAAGTTTGTTGATAAATTCTTTTGAAATTTCGTAAAACACCCTTCGTAAAATAACCTCTTAATCAGTTACGTAGACAGCCAGCAAATTTCATAGAAGTGCTGTGTAAAATCTTGAGGTCATTTTGCGCAAATTATTTACTACCTAGTTCAAGCAAAAATTGGACAATTCAAATCACGCTTACGTACCTCTAAAAACAAAACGTACCAAAAAGTTTCGTGTTACAATCAGTGATTCCACAGGAAATCGTACTTGCCAGTCTTGCTTACGAATTACAAATAATCACCTACGAAATTGATAACGTGATGCATACACGCATGTCATAAAAACACAAATCGTTAAGTTGAACTTCCGCAAGATGACAGGACATCGATGAAAGACAATGTGTCTTTATAATGGGCTTGGTAGAGGCGTCAAAAAGTCTGTATTATCACTTTTATCGGACGCCGACAAAAATATTTCGTATTGTTTGTTCTATAATATTATACAACAAAAATCTCGTCAGTTGATGGAACGTATATCTATATGACTAATGACTTTTATCAAATATCAAAATTTTGCCATTATGTTTTCATTGCATTATATCAAATAATAAACATCACACCACTGGGTGATTTCAAATAACCAACATAACTTTTGCACACATTGTTAGACAAGTTACATGTTTGTAAATGTAGATCGTCCAGTTTGGTATAGTCCTGAGAAGGACTGTTTTTGTTGTTGTTGACTGACGTTTTGACAACCTTAGCTGTAGTCATCTTCAGAGTCAAATGAGGAGTAAACGTCAGGTTAGCCGTATTTGTTATCTAGTTCTTACGTCCTTGCAGCGGTGGTTGATAGATAGATAGATAGATAGATAGATAGAGAGATGATTTATTTCTTAAAACTGGCAGCCATATTGCTGAAATACGTTTAAGATTACATATAATACATACATAAATAAATTAACTAAATTACATCTTCAATGAGTTATCAGTTATAAAACTATTTCTAAAACGTTTGGTATTAAAATTAGTATTAAATGAAGATTGAGTCCTAAGTTCCATAGTTGAACGTTCTAAACGAGGAGGCAAAAGGTCATGAAGCTTATGTGAGGAATCTGCTGCCATCTTCTGAAACAACGCTGTTCAGCGTTGCATACTCCAAGAGCATACTCCAAGACAGGTCTTATACACGTTTTGTAAAATTGGAGCAATTCCTTGACTTCGATATTTGCTCGTTCTAGTTGAATAAGAAAATAGAGGCGTTTACGGCATTTCTTAATTATTTCATTTACGTGGATGTTCCACTTAAGGTTACTGGCTATAAACATTCCCAAAACTTTCGCGTGTTGGACAATATCCAGTGTAATGTTATTGATAGTAATTGGTTGAAGGTCATTGGTATTAGATCCAAAAGAAATTCGCATCTCTTTACATTTGGTTTCATTTAACTGGAATTTATCACACGAGATGCTGTTCGCTAATGTGTCCATTTGGTTTTGTAAGTTACTTGTTTGATCTTTCTCAATTACTTCACTAACAGTGGTATCGTCCACGAATTTCCACATTTCATTATTTGGTAACCTGAGATCGTTAATCATTATCAAAAATAGCCGAGGCCCCAATTTTGTGCCCTGAGGAACACCTGCAGGCACGAGTTCCCACTCTGAAAAGCAATCGAATTTCAGCTTTACTTTTTGTTTCCTGGAAGAGAGGAAATCCATAATCCAGTGTAGAACCCATTTCGGTATATCGAATGAACGTAGTTTTTCAACCAATAAGTTATGACCAATCAGATCAAAATCCAATAACAGCACACGAACGGCCGCCCCGTTACCATCAGCTGCTTTATTCCACGACTGTAACATACTAAGTAAAGCTATAGTTGTGCTTGAATTTGGAATTTCCCCATACTGATTAGAGTCTATCTTTTTAAGTACAGCTGGTTTGACATAATTTTCCACAAAAAACTCCTCGGCTACTTTTGATACAATCGCAGTAAGTGATATAGGCCTTAAGTGTTTATTAACATCTCTTACAGGTTTCTGCTTTGGAATCGGTATAATATTTGCTTTTTTCTATAATTCTTGTAATCGGGCCTCTTTAAAGGAGCTGTTTATAATATCTGCCACGGGAGCGGCCAATAAATCAGCATTCTCTTTTAGAACCCAGAAGGGAATACCGTCTGGGCCAGTTGCTTTCCTTGCGTTAAGAGTTGACAACATCTTGAAAGCAGTAAACTCAGTTACAGGCAACAACCTCGGGAAATCATCAATCTCATTATCAAAGCATAAGTGTTGGAGCAGTGGGTTAAAATCTTTCATGGGTGTTAGAAAGGATTCGTTGATCATGTTTTCAAGTTGCTCAGGAAAATGATAAGAGGGTGTTAGTGCATTATCAATATTTTGCAAGGTTGACATCATATCTTCCTAGTAAGAAACCAACGGTGAAATACCACATAACTTTTTGATTTCCTTCCACCAACTTGCAGATGAACACGATTTTAAATGTTCTACTTTGTTTTGGTAAAACGTTTCAGACAAGATTTTCTTTCTCGCGTAACTTGGTTTCTTAATTTCTTGAAAGAGTTAAGGTCTTTTGTGCAAAAGCTTTTTCCCTTCGGCGGATCAGTTGTTTTAGCGATTTGGTAATCCAACGAGGCTCATTATTGATCATCACCTTCTTTTTTGTGGGGAGTAGGAAATCAAGACCAAAGTTAATGATGAGCTCTAACATTTTCATTTTGTCGTCACTATTTTTCATTTTGTTGTCACTATTTCCTCCTACCCACTGTTCGACATTAACCTCTTCTAAATATTTACCAAAGGCCGAACGTTTGGATGGTCGCAAATCCCTTGACATTACCACTACTTTCGTCCCAGAGTTTTCAGATATTTTTAATGGTTGCACTTTTACGGCTACATGATCGGAGAGTCCAAAGAGAGGACGTTTAATTGGAGAATCGTAAAATTTTTTCAAATTGGTTAAAATCAAATCCAGGTTACTATTGCCACGAGTAGGGAAATTTACGATCTGACGCAATTGGAAACTATTCTTTAACAGACGAACGTTCAATTTGTTAAAATCGCCCGAGATAATTATCCCACAATTTGAAAATTTTGTTTCAAGTGTTAGTAGTGATTCAAAAAGATAATTGATCATAGACTCATCATTCGCGCCCGGTGGGTGGTACAAATTACATAAAATAATATTGGACACACCTCTTGGTAAGCGGGTCAGTCTTAGATCTAATCATAATGCTTCGAACTCATTTGTTAAAAGGTCTTGCAGGATGCTAAAGTTAATTGTATTTCGAATATAGACGCAAACACCACCATGAATTCGTTCACGTCTATCACGTCTAATTAAATTATATCTGGGTAGTGAAACAATGTTATCATCAATATGACTTTGCAACCAAGTTACCACGATGCATAAAATATCCACAGTTGAACTGGCAATGTACGCATGTAATTCATCGATTTTGGGGGCCAGCGACATGATATTAGACAACATTATGGATGGTACAAATACATTTGGTCATCCACGACGTTTAAAGGATACTCTTGGAATAATAATACAATTGCTTTTGTTATGACCAGACGGTCTGCAACGGGAACGTAAGTTATAATGATCGCTTGGATTAAGAGACGATCTTACTAGTGTAGGTATTGTTCGAACGAACTCAAGCGATTGTGTGATAGGCAAAAAACACTCTAATGTACTATCTTCTTTTCTTTAAAAATGTCTTTAACTATAAATTGATCGTGTTGGTGTTGTTGGCTGTCGCTTTTCTACGTGCACAGGTATTTTCTCCAAGACTTTTGTTGTTCCTCTCTGAATTCTTTCGTCAGGCTGAATTCCATTGGTAATTTCTGTTGATGAGAATGACGATGCTGGAGATGCCAAGAAGTCAACTGAGGATTCTGCAAAGGAGCTTGTTGATGGAAGTATTGGTGATAAGGGCGTCGTTGGAACGACTGACGATGCCGAAAATGGGTTTGTTTATGGCCTGTTGCGGTGGAATGTACTCGCTTCGTTACTCTATCACTTCGTGTGATTTTTAAGTCTTTATCTACTTCAGAATTAAAGTTGCTCTGACATTTTCGTTGATGCTCGGTATTCTGAGAGACAAGCTCGTTGCTAGGAATTTCATTTCTTTGCACTTGTTGGTTTTGAGTGTTAATCGTTTCGCTGACTTTACAGCTTTGATAATTACTCCGCTACTTACATTGATATTCATGTAATTGGGACTCAAGTTGATTTAAGCATTTATTACTATGGAAATCTTTCTGATATTTGCTTTGTTGCTTTCGTCGATACTGAATAAGCTGTTTATCAATTTGAACTTGAGTCGTTCTTCTACTCTTGCAGCCTTGACCTGCTGCAGAGGATTTTACTGAGTCCTGCACACCTACGCTTGTCTCGAGATTAGCAGGTTTTGCATTACAAATTAAGGGCACATTGTTTTGCGATGCAGTCGTTTCGTCATTTAAAGGAATTTTAGGTTTAATAGTTGGCGTGGCATGTGACAAAACAAGCACTTCACTTCCATCTTTGTTAAGCGTGACTTTAGATTCAAATTTTCTTTTGTCAATTTGCATATATCTTGCTTGTTTCTAAGTATGACTGCCTTTGTTCTGAAATTTTGCCACCATTTTAAAATTTTGAAATTTTGAAATTTTTCTGTTGTCAATTTGCATATATCTTGCTTGTTTCTAAGTATGACTGCCTTTGTTCTGAAATTTTGCCGCCATTTTAAACACCGTTAATTCAATTTGATTTTTAAACTCATCAAAATTTTAGAATTTTAAAATTTTTACATTTTGAAATTTTTCTTTTGCAATTTGTATATATCTTGCTTGTTTCTAAGTATGACTGCCTTTGTTCTGAAATTTTGCCACCATTTTAAACACCGTTAATTCAATTTGATTTTTAAACTCATCAAACTTGTCCTCTGAGGATGTTACAGCGTCTCCGGTTCGACAAGGAGTTGCGCTGATAAGAGTTTCCGTTAAATCGTCCTTATTTGTTCGTGACGAAAGTTTTTGAAAGGAACTATCAATAAAGTCCTGTAACTCCTCGATTGTCGACTGGTCAAAAGCCGATACAGGCAAATTTTGCGTTTCAGATTTAGAAAGTTCGCCCCGTGTTTCACAGCTTTCACGTATAGTTTGCTCAGAAGATTCATGCTTATTTTCAATATCGGTGTTAATCTTATCT